AACATGCACTAAGACACGCGCCTCTAAAATGACTGCTGCTTGATACTGATATTTTAATAACCTTGATTATTAACACTTGATTATTTAAGACGGTTTTGAAGAGCATTTTTAAGCCTCTATTCTCGAATATTCTTCAGATATTCATCGAATCTAAAGAACCCCAATTTTTACTTCGTGAAAAATTTTTCCCCACCTGATTCCAGAATTCTCGAGGATTCCATTCCCTCCTCGAGGATGGAGCAATATCACTTCGTGATATCACATCATCCTCTACGGTGCCAGATCCTCTCGAACCGATGCTTGTTAACATTTGTTTGTAAAGACTGTTTTAAAATTTGAACGCACCTATATATTTCAAAACATATAGATTGTTTTAAAACGATAGATTGTAAACTCGAGATTTTACCCCTTTGAAACAATGCTTTATTAACATTTATTTATAAGACGGTTTTTTAAAGGCATATTTATGTCTATCGTCCTTTCGGACACCACGGGGGCGACTCCAATTTTCACTTCGTGAAAAATTTCCCACCATCGTCGCCTGAATTCTCGGGGCTCCATCCCCTGCTCAATTTTAGCTACGCTAAAATTTGCGCTGCCAAACCTCGAAACGATGCTTTCTTAACATTTGTTTGTAAAGACTGTTTGTAAAATTTAAACGCACCTATATTTCAAAACATATAGATTCCATATTTTTAAACGATAGATTGTAAACTCGAGTTTTTTACACCCCTTTGAAACAATGACTTTTTACATGGCCTTTTGCTGGGGACACCTTTGAACCATGGCCTTTTCACAATACTTTGAAACGACTTTTACGCAGCTTTTGCATAACACTGGGGACCTTTTGTGAACCATGGTCTTATTTTGCTGTGCAAGATAGATTTTACCCACGGTTATATGTAGTATAGTACATGGGGGATATGAGTGCACTTTTAGTGCACTCGTACCCCCATGTACTATACTACTCTTCCGGTACTACGATTGAAGAATATACGGCTTCGTCCACTCCTAAGACCTTTAAGCCCCGGTAGCTTGTCTTGCAGGTGTCGTATAACCGCCGAAGCTTGTCGATGTCTCCTTTGTCTGTTACGGGTTTTAAGTTCATTAACTCCTGGATATGCGCTTTCTTGAGCACGTTCTTTTTCCCGTATCTTCGTTTCAACAATTCTATAGCTTCGTAATAGTTCGCTGAAGTTAGGGTAAATCCCGATATTGTCGATCTTGCAGGTTCCAGTAGAAGACTCCTTAAAAATGCAACTTGTCCCTGTCAGCCAATCCGTCATTATTATTCACCGTACTATCAAACGAATCCAAAAACTCTTGCCATTCTTGCAGCTGCCGCTAAATTTCTTTACTTACAACTTTGGGAGTTTTGCTCTTATAACTCTGCGCGTCTCCCTACTCAAACTGCTGTTCAGCGTGCCATTTAAGGTCGTTGTTGCCGTTTCAACTGTGGCATTAGATTCCTTGACGATGTCGTTCACATCCAAAATTGCTCGCTCGAGTTTTGCCCGTATATAGTCCGCATCTTCATTTTCTTTTCCCAAATCGTCTTCTGCATTTTCCTCATTGCTTTTGCTCAGCATATCAATAATCGCGTCATCAAGGATTTTTAATGTTGCGATCTCTTTGTTCAATCCATGTCGTAGTTGTCTCAGTTCATTTCTATCAATCTCGCTGCTCCAGCCATGGATAAATGGTCCCACTGCCTTGTGGGCATTTTCGGGAGAAAAAAAGGCTAAGGAGTAAACCTGACAGAAATCCGGAGTGGGGCCTCTAAGGCAGTCTGCTGACATACCCTGTCATCTTTCTGGCAGCTCCTGCAGCCGAAGCGATTCCAAACTGTTGCACTATGTGCTCCTTTGGACTACATCGTCTAGGCCGAGAGGGGACTCTTGGAGTTTGGCTAGCACAGGACTTCCATACTACATGCTCGGGAATCAGTACGCCACACCCCATATGAGGCGTCACTGACGTCATCCTCGCTTCGCGACGGACTTCCATCATCATCAATCTCGCTGTCCGTTTCCCGTATTTTGTGTTTTAATTTACTAGCAATTTTCCTCGCTGATCCTCTATGTCCTGCTCGCACTCGTTTCTTTCTCATAAATTCATGCATTATGCTAATGGACTAAGAAACTTGAATTTCCAAATAGATCTCCAATTAAAATATCTCCGACTCGAAGGACCACGTGTAGCAATTTTCTCCTTTGCGCGTTAGCACAAAGCATTTATGCGTCTGCCGATTTGTTTTTGGGACTGTTTACTATCCTCCTGTACGCGCAATCGAGATACAATTCTCAATTTTACTCAATATAACTATTCCACAACACAGATAATCTTTTAAATATTTCAAGCTTTTACATTCACAGCCAGCGACAAAAGAGCCCTGACTTTTAACGTGTCACAACTAATAAAGTATTGACATAAGTTCCTATTTCCGTTCTTCTATAAGTTCCTTGTATTAAATAACAATTATGAATTACTTATTTACAAAAGTTCTGACAATTATATTTCAAATACATATTCCATTATGGTGCAATCAATATTGAAACAAAGAATTAAACTTGTTTGAGGAAATATTTTTCATTTGCCTTATAGTCGCTTCAAATTTACAACATACACGAAAAAACACAAATTAAGGTAGGCTAGACACATAATATCTTATGATCATTGCTCAATATGGCGACAGTCTCACTTTCCCCTAGGTAGTACGGTATTTAAAATCTCAAATATAAAGGTTGTCAAAGGCATTTTTTAATAAAACGATATTTCAGTTCTAGCAACAACATCCACGCTAAAAAACTGTAGAGAAATTACCAACATCCTCTCAGTGGTGTGCTGGACGGGGGGGGGGGCTGGGGCCGTGGCTCCCTCAGCTGTTGATTTTTAGGAGGCGCTAAAATGAATAAAGGCGTCAACTTTTAAAATTGTATTAAAGAAAGGCATTTGGCATTATACGGTTAGATTGATTTCACTCCCTTAAGTCCAGGATATGGCATTTTAGAGCTTCTTAATAAAGAATTTTCCCCAAGAGCACTTACCTCAGGAATCCTCAAACATGACTCGCACCTTAGGTTCTTAGCTCAGGCTTTGCGCCCCGTTTTAAAAGTGTATATATTTAGGGCCCGTTTTCGATGGTAGCTGACTGCCCCCCCTGGAGTGATCCTAGCACGCAATTGATCCCCCATATTAAAAAAAAATCAATTAAAATTTGCTCGCAAATTGTCTTCATTTGACGGCCGCCATAATTTTTCCGTTTCATAAAAATGTGTTAAATTTTACTTTTCTTACATGACATACATCACGGAGAAGCCACTGACTGACTCTTAATGTTAAGCTTTGTTTAACGGCTCAGATATTTCATTTTCAATAGGAAATGTTGCACTTTGCCCCAGATTACGCTACGTTAATGTGACTTATATAAATCAATGGCCACGCGGTAAGTTCCTTTCCCATAAACCAGTATTAAACGTTCATCCCCATGAATTACTTTCGTTGGCTTTCCTAACTCTTCATAGACCGATAAATAGTCATAATCAAAGATCATATGCTAAGTAGCACCAGAATAATTTCTCCAATCAAATCTATTATTTTTTGTTTGTGATAAACGCCATTTAGTCAATATTTTCTTGATAATCTTTTTTGGCTCAATGTGCTGACTTTTTTCCTTCGTTGTGGAAATCAAAGATTAAATTGTTGTAGAAATCTTGTTCTTTCTTTGTAGACAATATCGTGTAAAATGTCTTCATGAGTGAGAAATTCATTTATAAGAATGGTGGTGCTCATTTTTGTCTTTGCTGTAGTCCTTTTTTTTCCTTTCACCCTAAATGATCAGTAAGCAGCGTGAGTCTTTTTATCTTTCTTTGGTATTTAGTATTAAATCTACATCATTCAGTAACATTCCTTTAAAGTTTTAAATCTTTGCATGTTTCCTTGTCAAAATTTATGTCGAATTCTCAGAAGCAAAAAAGCTTTTGTGTTTCGCAAGTTACCTGCCTCCCCAGTATGAATCTGCAAAAAGTCTCACGAAATTTACAACGCAAAGTGTCGTACGTTTAAAGAACATAATGTATCACAATTCTCTACGACAGTCATTTAGATTACCCTTGAAAAAAATGAATCTTTTCGTAACATGCCCTACCCTATTATTTCATTGGTTAACAGTAATCAATTTTACTCACGTCACGCGACCTGAATTATTATGATGGTTTATTTTCCAACATGTGCTAGTAACAAGGTTATGTAAAATAAATTCGTAGCACTAGTCAATTCAAAACAAGGTTATTTTAATATTGTAAATTATCTCTAGAAACAAGTCTTCCCACTTTTTGCTGAAGGAACTGTTTCCCTCCTCACTTATTACACCATACCGCTTTTTTCTTTACTAAGTCCACTTTGATCAACATTCACCTGACATATTAGGCAAATTGGTGCTTTAGGATGGGCGCTTTTTCTTTGCTGTTTTAATTCCTACAAAACAAGTTAAATTGAATAGTCTAATTTTGAATGCCACACATGTCAGTTAAGGCATGTAAGTTAAAGTGTGAATTAACTTGACACGTAACAATCAACTGATGTATAGAAATATCGTCATGTACAGAGGTATCTCTAGCATTTCCAACTTGGATTTTCGCCATTACAAACGATATTTGACATTGATGATCCAAAGACATAAAAATCTAGCACCAGCAATGTCTGTCTTGTAACAAGTCACATGTACTATCCAGTGGAATATCATGTTGTTTTTAATGTTTTGTTGAAAAGCTGCTGTAATTGGCAAAAGCTGTAGCATTATCTCTGCCATTTAGTAGTTGTCTATGTCTAAATTTGTATTAATAGCATGCTTTTGAAGAAGCTGAATTTATAAACGAATAAATAACTTTGATTTCATCATGTATATCCTCGACTTTAACGATGAGTGGTATATGATGTAGGTCGAACTTTCAAAATTGATGATTTTAACTGTCTTGTTGATACATCATATTCTTTTTTAGATGGAATCAAGAGAAAGCAGAAATCTACTTTACATTCAGCAAATAATCAATGTGGTACAAACGGAACTTGCTCAATTTTTCATCAAAGAATGGAACTCTCGTTACAAATTAACACATGGCGAATGGGACGATACCAAAAATAGTGGCAAAAAATTTTGCACTTTAGAATCCGGTAGGAAGTTGAATAAAACACTAAAATTAAAATATCAAGATGGAGACACAAGTAGATGGGACTGCACAACATTATTCGATGCTATACTTTTTTCAAAATCGATTGGAAGACATCTTGATAAAAAAACAAAGAATGCTGTTCATGCACTTCGTGGTGAAAGAAACAAAGACGCACATTGGTATGAAAGCGAATACTCAGATGATGATTTTGATAAAATAGTCAATATCATTGAAAAATCATTTCAAGATTTGAAATTTTCGCTCGATGAAATCAATAAAATAAAAAATCATCGTAACAGTTTTAACTCGTTTCAAGTTCTTCCTTCAAAATCGAATCATTTTCTCGTTGAACGCATTGAATTACGAGATAAAATTATAAAAGATCTTGAAAAATTAAGGAGTGATAACAATAACGAGCTGACATATTTCTACATCACTGGTAATCCTGGCAGTGGTAAATCTCAACTAGCGAGACAGGTTTCTGAAAAAATATCGTGTGATTGGAAAAATAGAACTTCGTTTGTAATGACTCTCGATGGGAAGAATGTGGAATCTCTATTAAAATCTTACTGTGACCTTGGATACCGTTTAAACTGTAACAAGTATATGGTTGAAAAGTTTGAAGATGAAAATTTTCCCGCCAAAGAGAAAGTCAAGAACCTTCGATCGTTAGTATCTGCTCGATTGAAATTCTGGCAAAACTGGTTGATTATTGTCGACAACATTGTGCAACTGAACGAAATTTCTTCGTTACTACCACAAGTAGGTGATCACATGTGGAAAAATGGACAACTAATAATAACTGTTCAGAATACAGATGCCGTACCTCACGATGAGTTGTCCAGCAAACGTATTTCTATCAGTAAAGGATTAAATGACAGAGAGTGTTGTCAATTGTTGAATTCGTACACCAAAGATGAAAATGCTGATGATCAATTGTTGAATGAAGTATCGCTCGCATTGGATCGTCAACCGCTGGCTTTGGCTGCTGCTGGTTATTATGTCAGTCGCGTGAACGAAAAAAACTGTTCATTTACTTGGAGTCAATATTTAAAGAAAATTTCTTCTTCAGAAGAAGAAAACATGGACGCCACTTTTGTTAAATCAAACTTGGTATATCCTAAAAGTATATTACAAGCTTCACTTTTAGCAGTCAAACAAAGTGCAGAAGAATCCTCAACATTGGCAAATGTTATTAACTTTTTTTCCATTATATCATTTGATCCTATACCACGAGAAATTTTGGTTTATTATGTTCAAATAAATGATCCTAAACACTCAAAGGAAGATATATGTCTTTGTTTAGACGAATGCTCATTGTTCTTGCATTCAGAAAATAATGACATTAGTCTACATCGCATTGTTCACAAAGCCATTATTGTTTATCAATCTGAACATACAAACGAAGAACATGAAATGGAAACTAACGTTCATCAAATATCTAAAGCACTTTACATGTTTAAAGAGAGAGACGACGAAATCAAATTAATACCACATCTTGAAAAAATTGTTCAATTATTAAAGACCAACAAGACAAAAATCAACATGAGCACTTTACAAGTTATCCAATACTTTGTTGAAAGATTAAGACATTTTGGAAAATACGATCATGCTCTTGAACTGTTGGATAAATTTAAGTCAGAAGAATCTAGTTATGACAAAATTTGGTATTTTAATATCCTTGGTCTTTTATACTATGACACCGGGAAGTATAGCAAAGCTAAAAAAAATCATAAAAGAGCTCTAGAAATTCAAAAACAATCGTTAGGTACAAATCATGTTGATGTCGCTGCGTCTTTAAACAATCTTGGTAGGGTGTTACATGAAACTGGAAACTACGACAAAGCTATAGAGGTTCACGAAAAAGCTCTAGAAATTCGAAAACAATCGTTAGGTCCAAATCATAGTGATGTTGCTGGGTCTTTAAACAATCTTGGTGTGGTGTTTGAAAAAACTGGAAACTACAACAAAGCTATAGAGTTTTACGAAAAAGCTCTGGAAATTCAAAAACAATCGTTAGGTCCAAATCATGTTGATGTCGCCACGTCTTTAAACAATCTTGGTACTGTGTTTAATGAAACTGGAAACTACGAGAAAGCTATAGAGTTTTACGAAAAAGCTCTGAAAATTCGAAAACAATCGTTAGGTCCAAATCATGTTGATGTTGCTACATCTTTAAGCAATCTTTCTTTGGTGTTTGATATAACTGGAAACTACGACAAAGCTATAGAGCTTAACAAAAAAGCACTGGAAATACGAAAACGATCGTTAGGCCCAAATCATGTTGATGTTGCTGCGTCTTTACACAATCTTGGTACTGTCTTTGATGAAACTGGAAACTACGAGAAAGCTATAGAGTTTTACGAAAAAGCTCTGGAAATTAGAAAACAATCGTTAGGTCCAAATCATGTTGATGTCGCTGCATCTTTAAACAATCTTGGTGATGTGTATTTTAAGACTGCAAACTACAACAAAGCTATAGATTATCACGAAAAAGCTCTAAAAATTAAACAAAAATTGTTAGGTGCAAATCATGTTGATGTTGCTACATCTTTAAACAATCTTGGTTTGGTGTTTTATATAACTGGAAACTATGACAAAGCTAGAGAGGTTCACGAAAAAGCTCTGGAAATTCGAAAACAATCGTTAGGTCCAAATCATGTTGATGTTGCTGGGTCTTTAAACAATCTTGGTATGGTGTTTGTTGAAACTGGAAATTACGACAAAGCTATAGAGTTTTACGAAAAAGCTCTGGAAATTAAAAAACAATCGTTAGGTCCAAATCATGTTGTTGTCGCTAGGTCTTTATACAATCTTGGTAAGGTGTTTTATAAAACTGGAAACTACGTCAAAGCTATAGAGTATCACCAAAAAGCTCTGGAAATACGAAAACAATCGTTAGGTCCAAATCATGTTGATGTCGCTGCGTCTTTACACAATCTTGGTATGGTGTTACATAAAACTGGAAAGTATGACAAAGCTATAGACTTGTACGAAAAAGCTCTGGAAATTAGAAAACAATCGTTAGGTCCAAATCATGTTGATGTCGCTGCGTCTTTAAACAATCTTGGTGTGGTGTTTTGTGACACTGGAATCTACGACAAAGCTATAGAGTATCACCAAAAAGCTCTGGAAATACGAAAACAATCGTTAGGTCCAAAGCATGCTGATGTCACTGCGTCTTTGCACAATCTTTGTTTGGTGTTGATAAAACTGGAAATGACGACAAAGCTGTAGAGTTCCACAAAAAAAGTGAAGGAAATTCGCAAAAAACCGTTAGGAACTACTCAGGTTGATGTCGCTAAGTCTTTTAGACAATCTAGACGTGATGTATTATAAAGCTTTACAGTTACGTTTTGGTAGCTAGGTGTTTCAAAGAAAATTGTGCCTTCCAAATTATGTTAAGCCTATTTTTAACTCATAGACCGTAGGACCAAGGCTTCCACCTGCCACGTCGACTCCCCTCTCCCTCAGAAGGTATTTTTGGTACTGAACAAAACCTTTGCAGTTTGCATTTTATGAGGTAAAATGAACCTAAAGATTTAATGGTCCTTTCTATATATAGTTTCACTGATATCTAGTCAATAAACTTACCCTACAGCCAGGGAATCATCCTAAGTAGAAGTTAGAACTGCCCATGCCCTGAATCTGACATTCTTCTTTAGACTTTATTTCTAAAGTAATTTGTTTTTATGTTATAACCAAGTAGTAACTTTTATTGCATGATTCACAAACATACTAAAGTATATTGGAATGACAGAATTGTATGACATAAATTATGTTAGAAAAAAATCATCCAGCCATTTTCTTATTTTTTTGATGCATTCAGTAATTTTTTACCCAGCTCCATAAGCCTATGACCATATTCCAGGTTCCTATAATTTCCAAGGTGTACACCTTTCATACAATACATACTACCCCTCCATGCTGCAGCCAATAATCCTGTACTGTTACTATCTCCACCATGAAACATAGAACAAGAACACAATTGAAACCAGGAATCTTTTGCCATCATCAAAGCATCGTAAGCAATCATTGGTGCATCATGACGACAGGACCCACTCCAACCTGCATACCTCACAGACTATTCAGGTATGTTATACATCACTGGAAACTTTGGTTAACTGGTTCCAATTATTATTTCCCGTAGTTCAAGATATGACTCCCAACTATTTTGAAAGAAGCCCCAAGCTTTCTTGTTTTCTTCTACATCACGACCAACCTTCTCAATGTATTTCATTTACCATCTTTTATTTCATTTATAAATTGATATTAAATAAAAGGATATGAAACATTCATGGTAATGGCTTGATCAAGTAAGTAATCGAGAAGAAGAGGGAAAGGTTGAAGGAATTAAAACATCTAAGAAGAAGCAAAAGGATTGAAAAGATAAATTACTATAAATGTTTTGTCAAAATGAAAAGCAATGCAGATAACAGGAGAAGAAACCTATGAGTATGCACAAGCCTGTTTTTCCACATCTAGCCGCGGAATCGTAACGTATCGTAGCAAAACGTAACATGGCGCATGCGTGATTGTGCCATTGACATCAAATTCACAAACGCATGCGCCATGTTGCTGATAACTTGAGCAAAACTGGAACAATCGATAGACAGAACACTAGACATTAGTGACTTGATAATTGATACATGATCTGAAATGGTTGCTTTATTATGAAAGGGTGAATACCTGTGGGGTGATTATGAGACATCCTTCCACTTTCAACAGCAATTTCAATTAACATTTCAATTTGATCTTCACAAGGAAACATGAAACCTATACACATGGATCTCATAGGTGCACCACATCCGCCACCACGTTTATTAAATGGTATAATGTAACCTTTTTCCTCAAGAGGTTGTAACATGAAACATGCCTTTGTTGTGGTCTGCCCAGGAGCTCTTTCCCACATATCCTCAGCACATGTCTTCTTGTACTTTGCAGCCATAATGCTCAATAACTCTTCCGTTGCTGCTCATTCAGAAACAAACGCTTCTGCTGTAGCAATGTGTAGTACAGTGTCACTAACCCTCCATCCTTTAATGTCAATTTTATCAAGTCCCCCGAGTTTTTCTAGTTCTTCATGAATTTAAGTACCACTGTAACAGAATTTCCACAAACCATTCTTATAACCTAGAGCATCCCCCACTCCACTGTCCCACTGATAACCATAACTGCTTCGTATTTCTCGCATAATTTGACCGTATTTTCATAAGCCATTTTTAATGTTTACTTCACTGTAGTTAAATGAATGCTTAACATGGGATTTTGAAACCCAGAAAACACCAGGCTTGCCTCAACTTATAAAAACAAAAATCTTTTCTTTGCTTTGTTTCAACATTGTTTCAAACTATTTTGTTTAGATTTAGACGAGAGCGTTGGGAGACTGGGAGGGTTATTTTGAAATCCTTAATCTTTACCCGATTCCATGATCTTCAATCTGATTAACATGTTGCTTGTTGGAAAGATACGTTAAGAGTTGTAAAAGCTTTTTCAGCGATAATATTCGAAAATATGTCGTTTACATTGGTGAACATTGGTGTTTTTGCTTGTTGCAAATGTATGTAGCCTGATGAAGCCCACCGAATGCAGTGGTGTGTGTGAAATAGACCCAAGTCCAAAGTTCCAAACGAGTATCGCCAAATATAGTCATATTCGTTTATCACATGGTCGCTTCGTATTTATTGTTTAAAGGTGGTCATTTTTGAATGTCTCGTTTGTTGGATATAATTTAAGAGTTGATAAATTTTTTTTCCGCGATAATATTCGAAAATATGGCGTTTGCATTTGTGAATTTTTACAACGAAAATACATGGATATCATTCCATTTTCTAACATCATTTTTGAGGATGAAAATAAGTCGAAAGACAAAGATGAACTTAAAGGATTCAAAACATTAGTCATGTGGGGAGATGGAAAAACAAAGGGAAACGGCAAGTCGAGGAAATTTCCTGCAGAGATAATAGAGGTTTCAGGTTAGTATTTTTAGTCTGTTGTAGAATTTTTTGTAAAATTTCTAAAAGCTTGTATAATTCAGCCAAAAAGCTAATTGCTAGTGCATCAAGCTCTTTCTCTTTGTTATCATTTCTTTCATGAAACATCTTAGCTTTGCTATATATCTGTAAATTTCTGCTTGAAAATCTATTTGTTTTTTTCTCTGTCTTGTTTGTAGAGATAGTCATAGTTGATATGAAGGTTGCTGTTATCAATTCAACTTACTGCTTTTTTATGAGGGAAATACTTTCTTATAAAAAGCCTTTGCTCAAATGTTGTTCTTTCTTCTACATAGCAATAGTTCAATTACAATACTGACAATAAGGATGTGTCTATTTCCCAGATTTTAACTTGTTTGCTCTTAAATACATGTAGTAATACATTAGGCCAAACTTTGCATAAGGTCGTTTCCTTATAATTTCAGGCATGCTACTGCTTCCAATTGAAAATTATTATTTTTTAATAGTTGTTAAATAGTCATCCATTATTTTGTATAAACAGATAATAAAGATTATTTGCTCAAGACAATGAGAGAAGAAGAAACTTTCTCTATAAATACTGGCAAAAGGTGTCACAAAAGAATTCACAAAGCAAAGTTTACAATTGAAAGTGATAGTGAATCAGATGAAGTGGTGAGTTTTCCGAAATATTACATTGACCACATTTTGTTTATATGGCGTTTACTGCATGTTTATCAATTATTGCTGCCGTCATCTATAGTTAGCACTCATGTCACTAATGTGATGATGCATTCATGGAAATTTGTTAAGTACTCCATATGGTATTCATGATTCAAATGTTATTAGCTACTAATTCTATGTTCGAAGGTCTGCATTGCTGAACAAGGCTATGAGCCTAAGAATTTAAATGAGAAGTAGTAGCTAATAACAAACTTTTCAAACAACATGTATAAAATTTTGTATTGTTGTTCTTGTTACCAGCAGGAGCACAGTATTCCTAAAAGCTAAAGGCATCCAGGGCAAAGAAACACAGGCTTGCTGCTCAGCCAGTCTTGCTTCACTTATAAAGAGTGATTAACCAAGGTATGTACTATACACAATGATAACACTAATTATTCTTATCTCTAAATTATGCAATTTTATTATTAATGGGGAATGCTAGGGAATTAAGGTCATTTTCAGAATAAAATTTGGATGTTGTTTGGTTAAATGCTAAAAAGTTATTAATACTTTATGATATGTTCCCATTAGTCATAAAATGCTGTTAATTTGAAATTCATTTCTTGTTTGTAAGGGAAAATCTTTTAAAATACAAACATTGTACAGTGTAAGGCTTGTATAGGGCAATCATACAAAAGAATTTCAATCAGTGTGGCTTATGAAATTAAAAAATTGAGATTTACATTATAATATATTGTACTTGTTGTTAGTAAAGTACACTTTAATAGTTTGTACTAAAAGGAAAATATTGTTAAATATTGCCTAAGTTCTTGTTGATTATTTAGGAGAGTCAGTCAGATGAAGGTAGTGCACTTTGCAATGATAAATGCAAGTATAAAAAAGAAGCCTTGGAACTCAAAGAGAGGGTAAAAATGCTGAAAAATCAGATGAAAAGTCTTAATGAGCAAATTGACAATGGCAATGGTAAGCTCGAGGAAAATTTACTTCATTTGTATTTTTAAATCAATGCTTTCTCTGCTTTTCAGTTTTGTCTTCCAAAATGGAGAAATTTGTAAATTGCTTGTTCTATTCAGTATATTTTGGATTTGAAATTTAGTATTTGGGTGAAAAGCAACAACTCAATATTACGTAGTGTCATCAACCTTTAGAAGGCTATGATATATCGTCTTAAATTTATAGATTTAGAACTTAATGTTTGTAAATGTAAATCGTCCAGGTTGGTATAGCCCTGAGAAGGACTGTTTTTGTTGTTGTTGACTGACATGTCGACAACCTTAGCGGTAGTCATCCTCAGAGTCAAATGAGGAGTAAACGTCAGGTTAGCCGTATTTGTTATCTGAGTCTTACGTCATTGTATTGTGTGTACAGGAAATGTGAAATAGCGTATCAAAGAGACTTGTCAGAGACAACCAAAGACGAGATCAGAAGCAGGGTAGCCTCCACTTTAAAATCGTCCTCTATACGTGAAAACAACTTGACAAAGGACGAACAACAAGCACTCAAACGACTAATACACGACAACAACATCGTCATTTTACCAGCAGACAAAGGACGCGTGACTGTGGTCATGAACAGGAATGATTACTTCAACAAAACGAGACCCAACACCATCACTAGTACGCAAACTAAACAGCAAGATCTTCTCGATGAGAAAATCTAACATTATATCTGAACGTATTTACTATCGACTTAGATGTTCAGTACCACGACCACCCAGACTATACGGACTACCAAAACTTCACAAACCACAAATACCCATGCGACCAATTGTATCATTCTGTGGTTCGCCCACTTACGAACTCTCAAAGTACTTGACTGACATACTGCAACCACTTACAAACAAATCCAAACACAAGCTGCAATCCACTGAAACTTTCATTAAAAAACTGAGCACTGTACAAATACCGGACAACTATATAGTAGTGTCTTTTGATGTGAAATCACTGTTCACCAGTATTCCAGTTAATCTGGCACTTACTTGTACAAAATTCCTCATTACAAACACCACGGACGTACTGCCATTACCGACAGAAGACATTATGGAGCTACTGGAGCTCTGCCTCACCTCCACTTACTTCCAGTACAAAGGTACACACTACAAACAATTACATGGAACAGCAATGGGCT